CGCTTTGCCGACCATGCCCTGTCCCTAAACGGAGACTCTGGGCCACTCGAGAAGCCAGATGAGACTGTTTAACCCACCTGCTCATTCGGCAGCATTTATTATGCACCGGGATTGGGGGACACGAAGGTAAAAAGAAAAAGGCCTCAGGCCAGAGAGGGCCACAGTCTGATGCAAGACAGATGTGTCACCTGCTGGAGTCAAGGAAAGAGACAACAGTTGTTTGGGGCCACCCAAAAGAGGCCAGGAGGCCTTGCATGTACTCCTCTCTCCTTACCTCTGGCGGTGTTTGGCCTGCATACAGTGGAAAGCTATTTGGGCAGCCATGATAGTTAAAAAAATTTTTTTTGAGCCAACAATTGAAAATGGGAATAAAAAAAAATTGTTTTTAATTTTTATTTTAGAGAGAGAGCACAAGCGACGGGGAGGAACAGGGGACAAGAGAATCCCAAGCAGGCTCTGTGCTCAGTGCAGAGCCTGACGCCGGGCTCGGTCTCACGACCCTGGGATCCTGACCTGGCCAAAATTAAGAGTCAGGTGCTCAACTAACTGAGCCATCCACATGGTCCAAAAAAGGGAATTTTTATAAAATAATAAAATTTAGGATTTTCAGCTTCTTTTGAAAAACCTCAGAAGATCCGACAGACAACACTAAGCTCATCCCCACATGGCCGTGATAGCGTGGGGTCAAGGCTGCCCCTTAGATGGAGGCTGTGGCCTCCACGTCCCCACAGCGCCCTCCCCGCCAAGTCCTCCTGTGTCCCTGCTGTGGAGGTCAAGGTCTAACAACCCCTGCATCACCAGAGACCTCATGCTGTGCCTCTACTTCTATTAGAGAAATGTCAGCCAAACATGGGAAAGGAAAGGTAGCAGCAAAGGGATGGGTCAGAACCTGAGCTTTTGAATTTGCAGTCCTGACAGGTAGGAGCTCCCGCACACACCCATGAAATAGTCCCTCTCATCCCTTCCCCAGCCGGCCCCCGAGGCCACGCTCGTCCCAGCCCTGGGCCTCGAGCCCCCTCCACACAAGCAGGGTGAGGGCCAGACTGCCCCTCCCCTCCCTGGGGTGGGGATATTTCCTTGTGGCTGCTCCAGGGAGGCCCAGGGGCTCTCTCTCGCTGCCGTTGCCCAGGGCAGCCGCCGTGGTGGGATATCTACAGGAGGAGCAGTCATGTCTGTGACCAGCACCTCAATACATAAGAAAGGGGACAAGGATGAGTTCCCTTTAAAACCAGAATTCACCAGGAGCCTCGGCCTTCCCACCCAAGAGCCCCCTCACTCTGCCCCTCCCCCGCGCAGAAGGCCAAACCAGCGAAGCTGGGCAGGCAAGGGCACCACAGGGGAGGGCTGGCGGTCAGGGAGCACAGACAAGTGACAGAGAACCTGAGCAAGAGGCGAGGGGCAGAAAGACGGGTGACTCAGGAAGAGACACAGGAGCAGAGGAGGAAGCAGTTCCTAGTCATTCTCAGCATACATTTATTGTGTGCTTACTGTGTGCCAGGAAGTAAGCCAGGTGCCAGAAACAGCAATAGGGCCGGGCGCCAGGGTCAGTTACTGAGGAGCGATGTCATTAGTGTCACTATCCTATGGACCCTGGTTGACAGAGGGAACAGTTCACCCTTCAGGCACCACTCAGGACCTAGGCCTTTCCAGCAACGGAAGGGGATTCGGCGAGGCAAGACCCTGTCCCTCTTCTCCAGCACACAGACAAGCTCCCACGTGCTCCTCGGAGCGCGTCTGCACCTGATGTGCGCAGAACACATCCCACACGCGTGCGCACACACACACACACGGAGGCACAGCCACACAGGTACAGGAGGCGGCATGGAGGTGTCACCTACTTGTTGCGACCCTGGTCACCCCGCTTAGCGTGAACTGTCGGGGCGCCTGAACACCCACCATTTAGAAATTATCTTGAGAAACTTTTGGGGCCAAATCACTTACTCAAATGTGACAAATAAGAGAACAAAAAGAATAAAAAAGATGAGCAAGGGGACAGCTTCTGAAGGTTTTTGGTTAGAGAGGGGTTCTTAGTGGGATCCGGGTGAGCAGAAACGGACCTCACTTCCTGGCCGCAAGTCTGTTCCCGCCGGAGTTGCCTGGGGTAGATGTGCTATCACACGGATGGGGTGAGGGTGGGGTGGCCTTTGTCCCCCGTGCTATCTGCATTCCTCCAGAGTCATGAACCAATGCTATCACTTATTAAGTACCTACTAGGTGCCAAGGCTATAGCACTGTACATGTGCTTTATGCCCAAGTCCACCTACCTCCCAGTGAGGGTATTCCCTCCACCTTATAGGTAATGAAACTGAGGCTCAAGACTTGCTAAGGTCCCGGAGATAGTATGTGGGGCGGGGCCTCGATCCTCTGCTCCTCCTCTCACTGCCTCCTCGGCACCTGGAGATAGAGCCTCATCTGGGATGGGTCCCAGCTGCGAGCTGCCAGGGGCCCGGTTCAGTTTCAGATCCACCCATGAGGCTGAGAATGACTAACTTCAAAGGTGGACATGCTGCTGACTGCAGAGAGCCAGGGACACAGGTGGTGCCCCCCCCCCCCCTCCGCTGGCAGGGAGAGGCTGGCGCTTGTGGCAGGCCACCCACACCTCCTTCTTGACACTGCGTCCTCACCCCAGGGCTTGGGTAAATTAGGACATGGGTGGAAACAGGCTCACAGAGCCCACCTCTTCACCCTGATCTTGCCCCCAACCCTGGGGAACCAGGGTGGGAGCTGGAGCCCAGAGAAAACCCAACTCTTTCACTTTTGGGGTCCCGGGCTCCTAATCCTCACAACCCCACGACCGATACTTGGGGAAAATGGGCTCTCACCCTTGAGATGGCCCCCTGGTAAATGGAACAGGTAAGGCACCCAGCACCTCAAGAGCCTATGAAGAGCCATCGTATTCTCCCTCAGAGACAGGGGAGCTGCTGTTTTAACAGCCTCTGAAGCCCCATCTTGTGGAGACGACTTCCCAGAGCTCTCTGACAGGAGCCTCTGACCACAGAGTGCCAACCACTCATCCCCCCACCCCCACCTTGCGTGTCTGCTCAAAGTCACACAGGCGGACACGCAAGCGCATGAACAACTCCACTGAGCTGAATGTGCTGCTGCCTGGGGCAGTCCTGCACACAGACCCCCCAATTCCAGGTGTGTCCGCATTTTCAGTGTCCTTAGGCCCCAGGGCAGAGTGATGTCCCCCTCAGACGGCATGGCCCAGGGGCCATGACAAGGGGGGCTTGTGCAGAGGTTCCTCCGACCGGGCGGATTCTGGGTACAAGAAGGGTAGGAGATGGAGCAAAATAGAAAGGAACCCACAGGGGCCTGTAACCGTAACCATGGGCTTTAGGAGGGTTGGAACCTTCCCCCAGGAGCATTTGCAGGAAGCCAGCCACAAAGGAATGACCAGACTCCCAGACAAGAGTCCAGGGAGACTGGACAGGAGGGGACTCCTGGCAACGTCCCTGAGGATGGCCCAGCCCCCTTCCTCTCGACGAAAAGCCACCAAAGGCACCGGTCCAGCATCACTTCCTGCTCCTTCATAGCAGGAGCCAGGAAGCTGGGGGGGGGGGGGGGGGGGAAGAGACAGAAGGCTGTGGCCACTTGGTGCAGAGTGCCTTTGACCAGCTCATGGTCCCCTTCCCATCCCAGGGTGGGGGTGACCAGAGATTTGCTCCCCCAAGTCCCCATCAGTCTCTGGGGCCAACATGACTACTAAGTAGAGCTCAACCCAGTATCTGAGGAAGCTCTTGGCTCCAAGAAACAGAGACCGTACCTAGCTTTTTGTTTCCCTTCCCCGGGCTGTTGCTGCCCTGCTCCCGAGGCCTGGTGGGCCCTGGGGCTGATGCTCCAAATGGAATGTCCTGGTCTGGAGGGCCTTGGATGCTCTAATGACTTCAGGAGTCCTGGCTCTAATCTTAAGCAACTTACTCCACCCCCTGGGCTTCGAGTTTTCCAGCTATAAAATAGGGAGAATATCTAACTCCTGGGCTCTTATCATGATTCAAGGATGATAACAGGAAAATATGTAACACATCAACTCTGTACAGTCAGAGCAGAATGACTGGCCCCTGACAAGGGAGTGGGGGTGCAGGGACCTGACCCATCTGGTACTGCTCCATGCACTGTTGGCCTTGGGCTCTAGTTTCTCAATGCCTGATCTTCGCACAAAGTGCCCATGTCCTGCGGGTGGGTGGGAGAGGCAGGCAGCATCTCCCTTTGGCCAGGCCTGGGCGCTGTTGGGGACAGCACGGCCCGTCTGTACAACCTCAAGGGCCCTTGCTAATTAGCCATCTCCCCAAACTGTACTCCTCTGTGTCCGTAGGTCTCAAAATCTGGGTGCACCAGAATCACCAGGTGGGGCTTAGCAAAATGTAGGCTGCCAATTCTCTGGGCCAGAGGCAACACCGGGCGTCTACATCTGTAACAAGCCCCAGAGTTCCTGCTTGAGGAAGTAGGATGTGGAGGAAGACGGCTCTGACTGCTGAAACCAGACCATGCCTGGGAGGCCACAGGTCCATGAAATGACGAAAGTCTAGCACCTGCCCGACTTTAACTCTGCATTTCCCAATTTTTTTTTTTTTTTTTTAAAGTAAGCTCTGTGCCCAACACAGGGCTTGAACTCACAATCCCAAGATCAAGAGTTACATGCTCTACTGAGCCAGCCACGTGCCACTGACTATGAAAGGTCTTTTTTTAAAAAACTAGACTAATTAATATCTCACAGAACTAGTGTTCTGTAGAATGGTTTGGAAAATGTTGATGTGGTTCTCTCTCCTTTTTAAAAATATCTGTTTTAGGGGTGCCTGGGCAGCTTAGTCAGTTAAGTGTCCGGCTCTGGGTTTTGTCTTGGGTCATGATCTCACGGTTTGTGGGATGGAGCCCTGAGTGGGGCTCCACACCGACCACACAGAGCCTGCTTGGGATCCTCTCTCCCTGCCCCTCTTGGCTTGCTCACTTGCTGTCTCTCCCCAAAATAAATAAACCTTAAGAAAATTAAAAATATCTGCTTCAAACAAACATCTTGTCTTTTAATGTCCGAGTGGACTGAAACCTAGGAAAATGAGGTGTGTTGCAGGTGCCAGACCATTAAAGCAGAACGAAAGCTTGGGCTGGGGTCTGTCCCTTCCTGTTCTCCACCACATTCTGCTCCACATTTGAACCTGAGGCTCTCCTGGATCACCCTGTGTCCTGAGCTCGAGAGGAACCCTGGCAGTTGACCCAGGGATAGGAAATCTGAGTAGGGGATGGAAGGGGTCAGGAGAAACAGCAGAGGCAGTTTGGCGCACACTTCTAAGATGTCTGTGCAAGCCCAGTTTGTTTGGGGGTGGGGTGGGGGAGTAAGGTCTCTCCCTGGCCCCACTCTAGCTTCTAAGATGGCAATCACCCAGAAACAGGCACGTGTGGCCATGAACTGAAATGCTTAGCAGGGGCATCCCTTACCAGGAGGAAAATGGATTTATTGCTTTATAAAAAGGAGTCTGATAGAACGTAAAAGAAAAAAACCCCCAAAAGCATAAACCTAAAATCAACCTGCCCTGCCGGGCACTCCCAGGAAGTCTCAGACACACTTCTGGAGGCAGTCAGGTGGGTGGCTGGAAGGCCAGGCGGGCCTGGCAGAGAAGGGTGGCCTCTTCCGTAAACAGCTCCAGGACCATGGAGGCGTCTGCCGGCAGGGGGCGCTGTGGCCCCACGGCCTCAGACCAGCTCCAGACCCAGAGGAAGGCTGCCTTGGGGACCCTGGGCCTGTGGCAGGCCTGGCTGCCTCCTGGGCGGCCCTGGGAAGGGGATGAGGGCAGACCCCTGGAGCCCACACCTTAGCACTACCCCACACACCTTCCTCACACGTATCACATGGTCACACATCCCACACACACACACACACACACACACACACACACAGGCCCCTCACCAGCCATCTCCCCGGCCAGGCCTCTACCTCCTCGTCTGTCAGCGACAGCCTGGCTTCCACCCCCATAAAAACAGCTGTGTGTATGGGGGGGGGGGGGGCCTGTTGGTGCTGTTTTCATTCCCTTCGGGTCACAGACTGGATGAAGGGTGGCAGTGGAAACGTGCTCCCTGCCCTGAGGGAGGAAGTGAGGGGGCTGCTAAGCAGCCTTGTCCTCGGCTCCTAGCCGTGCGTGACTATCCAGCCCCCCATTCCCTCCCCAGGCTTTAAGCCAGGGGGCTTCTCCACAGGCCTAGAACAGGACAGGTCACGGACAGGCCACAGGGGGCTGGAATTACAAAGGAGTTAGCACCAACAACAGGAAGCGGGTCCTTCCTTCCTCAGGCAGCCTCAGACTGGCCAGGGGAGGAGGTTGAGGGGCCAGGCGAGGGTGTGCAGACAGTGCAAGCCTTTGTCCTTGGGCAGGGTGGCCAGTGGGCATGCAGCCGAGGGCAGGTGGCAGGCAGTAGGTGGCAGACCCCTGTGCTTTGGCAAGAGGCAGAATCCAGACACTTAAGGGAGAGAGCCTGCCTGCTGGGGGTCCTCCTTGCTCCTCCCGCAGGCACCAGGGTGCCTCAAGGCCCCAGGGCCCCTCGAGAGTGGCAGAGCAAAGCCCAGGCTGGCCCTTGCTTCCAGCAGTAGGAACATCGCACATCCGGGCCCTCTCCCGTCCTTCCGCGGCAGAGCTCCAAGGCAGGACCGGGGCCCTGGGAGGGAGCGTGGACTCCAAAATGGTGAAGGAGGGGATCCTGAGGGTGCATGGAGGTCCTCCGGGATGGGGAGAAGGACACCGGTGAGTCACTGAAGCAAGGGCAGGGGCCACAGTTCAGAGGCGGCGAGCACTACACGAAAGCCTCCCGGTTGGAGGAGCCGTTCAGCTTGAGGAAAAGCTTGTCATCCTCCCTCTTCTGCTGTAGCTGTCTCTCCAGCTGGCGCCGGTAGCACACGAGGTAGAGGGGCAGGCAGAACCCCAGCATGCTCAGGGCAAGTAGCCCCACGTTCACCTGGAGACACGGAAAAGAGAGCGGCCATCGCGCGAGGCGGGGGACAGGCAGGGCCATGGTCCCTGCAGAGCCCGGCTCGACGGCCTGCCCCACACTCCGGTTTGGGAAAGGGGAGGTCACCAGAGAGGGGAGGAAAAGCTGAAACTGGATGAAGGACCTGTCGCTTCACATTCCAGCACCAGGATTCCCAGTTGGTCGGTCGTCCGTGGGCTGCTGAGAAGCCCTCGGGGTGTGGGTCCCCAACCTCTGACCTCCTGGTGTGGATATCTGGGGGTGGGGCCAGGACTGGGGCCCCGCTCACAGTACCTGGTTAGAAATCCCAGCCCTCAGCAGGAGGGCTACCCCAAAATCAGGTCCAGAAAGGATACCCTTCTCCTGCACAGCCACCGCTCACAGAGGAACCCAGAATCCATCCTAACCCGAGTTCCAAACTGCCTATCCTTGGGGCCCCAGAAGCTCTGAGCGATGCCCCCCCAGCTCTGAGTGGGCAGATGCCCATACCCCACAACCCCGCACCCTTCTTACCCATAGAGGGTCTCCTTGGAGGGGACCCATCATGGCCAGAAACAAGGGCTGCTGCAGGAGAGCGAAGAGTGCACTGACCAGCGACTGCAGTCCCGTGAGGCTGCCAAACTGGGTGGAGGGGTACCTGCCGGGACAACAGGGGACCTGTCACCTGTCAGGCTTTCCCAGTGCGCCTCCGCCTCAACAAGGCCCCAGGTGTGCCTGCCTTGGATCAGTTTCTGCTAAGCAGTCCTGTGACTGTGAATTTCTCTTTCAGACCGACATGAGACCCCCAATTATGGGGACCCCACTCTACCCAGGCATGCCCCAGGTCCACGGGTGTCTGGATGAGCTGAGTGGAAAGAGCGGTGCCAGCAGGACTTGGCAGCTTGGCAAACAGGCCCAGGGAGCAGGCTGGAGGCTGGCCCTGGCTCCGCTACGCCCTCATCCAGAGGGGCATTGTGTAATCACGGAAACTCGGCATCACACTCTCCGTGGGCTCTCAGACTCTGCCAGGACCGCAGCTACTTCCTCCTGGCACTGGGTGGAGTGGGGAACGACAGGCAGACCTGGAATGACCCCCGTGGGATGCTGATGGGAGAGAATATCTCAGTGACATGTCAGGCGCGGTAGCCCCAGAGGCGGGAAGGGGCTCCCAGCAAGGAAAGCACGGGTCTTCGGTCAGAGACACACAGCAGATGGTGTTTGAGGGTTTTTTTGTTTTTGTTTTGTTTTTTAAGATTTTATTTTTAACTAATCCCTACACCCAAAGTGGGGATCAAACTCAACCTCAAGATCAAGAGTTGCATGCTCTATTGATGGAGGCAGCTAGGCGCCCCCCACAGAGTTCCATTTCTGAGCCGAACCCCAGGGGGAAGAACAACTGTCGTTCCTTCTGTATGTGTGGCCTCTTGGAAAAGGAGGCAGGTTTCATTATAGCCAAGGCCCGAGCAGGCCAGGGCAGAACCAGGCCCTTAACGACTCTGGGTGAGAAGAGTCTGACACACCGTGGGCTCAGTTATCCATGTCATTGCCCCTGCCGAGGGCCATTTAGTTCCGGGCAGCTAGAGCCCGCCCCTGTCCTTCCTGTGAGCAGCCAGGGGCAGTCCCGGGGCTCAGCTGAGCAGCAAGCCCCGAGGCATAATGAGCGACACAGGAGCACTGACTCTGGCGGGGGAACTGACTTCGTGTTAGGTGCCAAGGCTTGTGGGCACCCAACTGTCTGCCCACTGACCCACCTCCTGCCACGTGTGACCTCCCCTGGACATGGCCAAGCCCCAGTACCCATCCCCTGGCACAAGAAGATGAGCCCAGATGGCAGGCTGGCCTCCCTCAGGAGCTCAGTCCCACCACGAGCCTCCCTCAGGTCATTCCCCTACCGGCAGCCACCGGGCCACCCCCCAGCAACTAGCACTTACACGGCGGCGTACAGGCCCCCGACGGCAGAGTGGATGAATCCTCGCACGATCGTGTGCAGGATGAAGGAGAGGATCTGAGAGAGGGAGAGCAGAGTGTGAGCAGAAAAACGTGAGGGGCCTCACAGCCCCTGGGGTCCCGAGCCATGGGAGCACTAGCAGCCTGGTGTTGGCCAACAGCAGCTCTCCAAGGGCCAGTTCCTGACTTTTCAGGAATTTTATGAGCCAGCTATGAGACACAGTCATTACTAAAAATTATATTTATAAAAGCTTACAATTAAATTCTATTAAAAACAAAGGTAACAGATACTCAAAATTCACCATTTCTTCATGATTTTGTTATGATCTGCACTCTGAGGGTTTTTACGTTTATCGTCCGGTGCGGTGGGACGTATGCCGGCGTGTCACTGTGAATGTCCCTCCAGCTGCACATTTGGGGACTTCATGGTGGCTGGAATCAGCCACGGTGAAAGCATTTACACCAAGGAAACTGGCAAACGCTGAGTCAGGGCCCCTCTGCCTCCACCCGGAGTCAGCTGCTGTATACGTATTGACACAGCACTAAATAGGAGGTCGCTAATCAGGACTCGACCTCCTGCCTTTGCTGACCTGAGGACTGTGCCCAGAGATCTCTGTGCCTGGTCTCTCAGTCCCTAATGGCTGATAGCTTTCCTTCTCCCCTCCCGAGGAAAGTTCAGCTTCTCAAAAAGGCCACTGCTGGCAGGCTTAGCAAGCTCTAAGAAGCACTTGGAGAGAATTCTGAGGAGGTCGAGAGCTGTCCGTTTTGCCACAGCCACTAGGACCCTCTGCACACGGCCCTGCCATCCTGCTTAGCAGCCACGACCTGTTCCCAGAAACGTGGGCGGCGGAGGGGGCACCGACTGCTCTCTGCGGTGTCGCAAGAGGGCTGTGCCCAACTGTGCTCGCACACACTTGTGCAGGCTCCCTCTTGCCACTTCAAGTGTCTTGTTGCCTTTTCATAACTTTTCTTTCAACGAGAACTAAATAAAACAGAAAGCAGAAGGCTGTTCCCAGTGAGCACTGCCCCTTGATCAGACAAGGTGGTCAGGGCAAGGACTATCAACCAGTCTTGTAGAGGGGGCGGCCGCCAGGAAGCTGGGAGGGCACCAGGAACACAACAACACTCACTGGGAACTGGAACAAGCCTCCAATGGCTTACTCTGGTCTCACACAGAATGTCGCCACACACACGTGATAGTACCCATGGGTGGTGCACAGCTGGGTGTTCGATGTACTTCAACACGTGGCCACTTGCAAAGAAGAAGAGACTCTCGCTTCCCTTCTGGACCTGGCCCAAGATACTTTCTGGACTTGGGCTACCCATGTGGAAGCAATGCTATCACTCACGTCCCTTCAAAGTTCATAAACTTGGGGATTACAAAAGTCGTCACGATAAAACTCTTTCTCGAACCTAAGGGTAGAGCTGAGCAGGTGACGAAATCTGCTTTGCTTGCAATGTCTGACAAAAGTCAGGTTTCAAAAGCATCAGAAATCTTGTGAAAAGGAATTAAACTTTTGAACCCTGACGCCAAGTGATCACCATGGCCCTCCCCAACTCTCTACAATACAGATGTCCTGTAGGCACTCTCGTACCAGAGAAGCCGATGCTCCCACCAATGCCAGAGGTTGGCCAGACCTCTCTGGACCTCAGGTCTCAGCTGTGTGAGCAAATGCAAACCAAGTAGCCACACACTGCCCCCCATAGTTCTGGGGGACAGTAGGATGGGGGGGATTCATGCCATGCGAGATGCTCCAAAGGCCATGAAGAAGGATGTGCCTTCATGGAGAAGAGTCTTCTGTGAAAGGCAATCCCAGTTTCATGTAGAGCTCACCGCCAGCATCAAGCACAGGGCCTGGCAGCTAAGAACCCTTGGTAAATAACAGCCGGCTGCTTGCTTGTTGGTTGAAATAAATGAATGAAAAGTCATCATGGTCTTTGTAGATGGCTTCCATGACACATCACATCCCTTCTGGTCCCGCTGTCCCATATCACCATGTCCCCCGACCTCTCCCTGTACCCACCTGTAGAGGCAAGTTGGGAATGAGGCAGGTCACCCCAAAGCCCACAAGCAGCAGGTTTGTGAAAGCGAAGGCCCGCATGGCATTGGTGACTTTCTGGATCTGCCGGTCTCGCTTCTTCGTCTTCTCGCCCCTGTGGAGACAGAGCACACACTGGAGCTGGGAGCTCCCTGGAGGAGGATGGGCTCTTCCAGGAAGTCAGGCCTCAGGAGTCACAGCTTGTAGACGAGGCAAGACTCAGAGACCACCCAAGCATGTCTGAGGGACTGTCAGGGCTGGAGCGCCACTAGGGACAGCCTCACTGTGCCCTCTGGACTGCGTGCTGGGTGTGCACCGCAGTGGGGAGGTCGGGTGCCAAGAGGCCATCAACAAACTGTGCCGCCTCAGCAAAGGCCGACGGGGAGGCGAGCAGCAGAGCGCACCCAAGTCAGAATGTGGCGAAGTCCCGCTTCACCGCGGACTCTGTCACCCAAATCCTGCAGGGAGCTGATGATAAGCCAGATAATAAGGCAAACAAGGGAGGGAATGGGTTTCCCCTTTGGGGGCAGGAAGGGGAGAAAGAGAAACAAATATGCCACTGATGGAACCAGAATGGGCACAAACAACCTCATGGCTTTAGGACCTGACCTAGATAACAGAGCATTCTCAGTAATTATCTCCTTGTGAATTCCCTACTACGGATCCCAGTCCCACTGCCCACACAGATAACCCCTGCACAACTGGATGACACCCAGGAATGAATGCCGAGTGCTGGACACACGGGGAGTCCCAGGCCCACCACTTCCTCACTATGTGACCCCAGACAAGCTACTCAAACTCCTAACTTCAGTTCCCGCTTTTGAAAAATGGGTATTAACACTAGTACGCGCCGCATTGAGGTGTTGGCCTAACTGAGATACTGTGCATCAGGTGCTTGGCAAGGGGCCTAAAGCAATAAACAGTGGCTTATTATATTAAGGTGGAGTCGTAAAGACAGCATTTAACTCATCCTCTGATCTTGGAGCCCAATCCTTACAAAAGCGGGGCTCCCATACCTTGTTTTACGCTGACAGTTACGAACAGATCTAGTAACACGTTCTGCGGTTATAGCGCAGCTTACTACTCCCACCGAGTGGAGTGATCCTTGCAGGCAAGCAGGACTTCTTCCACCTCGTTTCCCACTGTGTCTTGAAGCCCTTATGAGTAGCTTTGGGCACAACCCCCTCTCGCCTCTCCTGCTGCCACCCACCCTGCCCCCGCCTAGCAGCGGACTCTGGGGGCCAGAAGCCAGGGCACGGGCCCGGTCTACGCACTGGTTGGCATCTTTCTCCTCCGGTTCCTCAGAGGCATCTTCACACTCCTTCAGCCTCCAGTCCATGATGTAGCCAATGACAGGGGCTGTCAGCAGGCAAAGCAGCTGGAGCACACCGAAGATGGACGTGTAGAGGCCAACTGGGGAGGAAAACGGGCTGCGTCATGGGGGGGGCCCTAGCAGAAGCCCGCACAGGTGCTGAGAGAGGCTGAGACCCCCATGGGCCCTTCTGGGGTCTTCCACAGACCACCCCGTCACCCCTCCCTGTGGGCCTTGAGGGGAGCCCAGAGACTTTAAACTCCGAAATCAAAGGTGGAGCAAGGGCCAGCCCCCCTATTCTCTTCTCCAAATTGTCTGCCTATTTCTAAGAAACAGTCTAATGAAATCCAGTATGTCACAATGACATCCCCCAGAAGCTTCAGGAAGCGTCCGTGACTCGGGAACCACAAAATTACCAATGCCTGGGACTGAGGCTTTGTGTCTGACTAGTCATTAGTTTTCTGCCTCTAGAAATATACCAGGAAGGCACCACTCACAGGGGCTGTGACGTAAGGGCTCCAGTCTTCAAAGAGCCTTAAAATTATGATGAGATTTTTTTTTTCAGGCAAAAAGGAGCTGAGAGTTGACTGCCCCCCACCCCAAATTTTGGCCAAGAGGGATGTTTCTTGGTCAGAGGGTGGCTGGAGGAGACATTGCAGTGTTCTCCGACAATCCCCCTGGCTTACCAGTAGCCATCACTGCATCAAGAAAGCAAAAGTGAAAAAGCAGAAAGGAGAGGGGTTAGCAGCAGAAATCTCAACGGTTGTTCTAGGGAGGCGGGGTGTGGAAGCAGGCCGGCTCTGGGCCCAGCACACATGCCATTTCCCACCAAGACCAGCCTCTCGGAGCACCCACGGGACGCCCGGCTTGGTTGAGCCAGGCTTCTGGGAACAGAGGCGGGTGAGGCCCAGCACGCGCGTCTGTTGGTTTCCGGCCTGCTGCGGCCTCAGTCACGTGCAGCTGGGGACTGTCACAGGCAGGCTGGTAAATCAGGGCTGCCATGCTTGCCGGGGACCAGGAGGGGGAAGTGGCGTGGGTGCCGAAGACCCAGCAAACTGGGGCCCCTCGTGTACACGGCTCTGTCATACCTCCTACTGCTCTCAGGCAGGGAGAGGGCAAAGAACCTGCCCCGACCCCCAGGCAAACACTGACACCATGGGTCTCCCTCAGACAGCCAGAGCTGTTCCCTTCTATTCCACCAGCTCCCCGATCCTGAAGGTGCCCCTCTGGGGACAGCCGGGGCTGTGGGTGTCGGGAACGACAGCTCACAGGAGCAGAATGGGAAAACCGGTGTCCGTCAGCTATAGACTGAACCTCCTGGCCCAACTTCCTCTACTTCTTAAAGCTGACTTTTTGAATGTGGGAAACAGTTGGGAAAAAAATGCCTGTCAAGCAGCAAAAGATTTGTCAGAGAACTGGAGTGAGAGTCCACGCCTCAGCAGCAGAGAGCTTTGCCTTCTAAGAGCCAGTGGGCCCTCGCTTCACTTCTCGGGGCCTGAGTTTGCAACAGAGGGTGTTTAGACACGATAGATCAGCTTTCCCCAAAGTGTGGTCCACGGATTCTAATGAGCGTTACACCATAAAAATGTTCTTGTGGTAGAAATTCGGGGGAGCATCACTGGACAAAACAAAGCTAAATACTTTTTCCTATCGGGCTCTCTCAGGGCCTCTGCTGTGTCAGCGTTCGTCATGAAATTTTGCAAGGGCACATGGTAGCCAGTGTTTCTCCACTTTGCTTCAGCGCGGGACATCCATTCTCACGGTGGGACCAGGCTGTCCGGGTCCCTTTGTCATCTTTCCCTTCGGTTGAGGCTGTTTTGTTTTGTTTTTAAGTTTATTTTTGGGAGAGAGACAGACACAGAGACAGAGTGTGAGCAGGGGAGGGGCAAAGAGAGAGGGAGACATAGAATCTGAAGCAGGCTCCGGGCTCTGAGCTGTCAGCACAGAGCCTGACGCGGGGCTGGAACTCATGAGCCGTGAGATCATGACCTGAGCCGAAAAGGACGCTCAACCAACTGAGCCACCCAGGTGCCCCTTTTTCTCTTTCTTTTTTTTTAAGTGTTTATTTATTTAAGAGAGAGAGAGAGAGGGGAGAGAGAAAACTCTAGGCAGGTTCCTCGCTGACTCATCCCCTTTAAAAACTGTATTTCAGGAGTGCCTGAGTGGCTCAGTCAGTTCAGCGTCCAACTCTTGTTTTCGGCTCAGCTCGTGATCCCATAGTCATGGGATGGAGCCCTGCATTGGGCTCTGAGATGGGCGTGGAGCCCTTTCAATTCTCTCTCTCCCTCTCCGGCCCCTCCCCCACTTGTATGAACAAACTCTCTGTCAAAAAATAAAAAAATAATAAAAATAAAACACACCAAAACCCCTATATTTGGTTCCTTGCCATCCCTAGCGTAAATACCCCTAGAGAAAAACAATTAAACCAACAAACAGTTGCACACCATTGAGAATGCCAATAAAAAGGATTTACCGACTGTGTTTGTCCCGCTCAGGGATGACTAACGCTGACTCAGCTCAGGCCCTGAGGAAGTACTGATTTTCTTTGTAGAATCAAAACCTCTAATCAGCTGAAGACCTTCTGAGCGGTTTTAGAAAAGTGGTGTGTGGGTTTATCAGCGCTGTTTACCAAACTTGACAAGTCTCAACTGGCTCACACCCACAAGGAAGCCTTGCCTTCCAGTCCTGGGTGCGCATCCCGAGATATCCAGCTCCGGGGGGGGGCGGGGGGGACACCCCCCCCCCGCCCCTGTGCACACAGCCTGTCCGCGGCCAAGCCTGCGGTTTCCCAGGGTGGGGAGATCCTTGGCAATGGGGCTGCCTGCCTGTCTCTCAGCAGGCTCTCAGGTGGAGCACTCCATGGGGCACCGTGTTTTCAGTTACGCACAGGCTTGCAGAAGGTCCCCCTGAGGCAATGGAAAGCATACGCCTCACACCCTGAACACCTGTAATTATTTTAGTCCCCCTCCCCCGCCTCTAAACCGGGAAATTCTAATGGCAACGGGAGAGAGCAGTGGGGGCTGGCTGGGGTGACATGGCTCTCGAGGGCAGGGAATCCTTTGAGGCCTGCCATTTCCTGGCCTACTACCTACTACCTCCCTGGTGGTGGGCTTAACCTCTGGTGGGCAGGAGGGAGCACGGATGGCGGGGTGCCCTCCTATGGGGACGCGCGTCGAGGTCCGGGGGCCACCTACCTACATCCTGGTCGCCGCTGACCAGGAACTTGAGGATGTTGTTCATGGCGCCCATGTAGAAGATGAGCCGCAGCTGGGTGATGCACATAGTGACCAGGCTGAGCAGCAGGATGGGGCTGAACACGCTGTGCATAAAGGAGGGGGCCGCTGTGGGGACAAGACCGGGGTGCTCTGGAGGACCAATGGCCGTACCCCCGTGCCCGCAGCCTACCCACTACCCAGGGGCTGGCCATACATAAGGCCTGATTTGCTGACCAGATCACCCCGTGCTGGATGAGGGATGGGCCTGGGCAAGGAAAAATGTGTGCGTGGTGGACCTGGGTCACCCAGGTGTGTGAAAGGAGTTGGAAGACTCCCTTCTCCAGCCTGGGCCTTAGCGCATTCATCTGTAAGCCCGTTTGCAGGGTGCTGCTTGCCCTCTGGGGATCAAGTGGGAGTGAAGTGAGACGGCACCCGTGAAGCCCTCAGGAGCTGCTGGGCCTGGGAAGGAGCCTAGGGCTTCCGGGTTGGGCTGGCTGCCTCCTCCCCATTGCTGAGGTGCAGGTATGGATGCGGGCCTAGCAGGTGAGGGCTGTGAGGTGGGTACCTGCAGTGTCTGGCTTGCACTTCACCTCCAGGTCAATGGTGGACAGGCAGAGCTTGTGGCCCTCCTGTAGTGCTGCCTGCTCCTTGCTGCTCCTCATGGAGCTGCCCACGCTGAGGCGGCGCCCCACCGTGGTCACCTGCTTGTAGAACTGCTTCCCTGTGATCTTGTGGTCAAAGCCCAGCCAGCTGAACTTGATCTTCACCCTGGAGGTCACAGGAGAGTGTCCATCGGTGCTGCCCAGGACCCTGGCCAGGGTGGGATTAGGGGCAGACGGCACACCCACTTACGAGTAGTCCATGTCCTCCGGCCCCGGGAAAGGCTCCAGGGGCCAGTTAAAGAAGCAGTTGAGGAAAACCAACCCGGAGCAGCCGGCCCAGACCACGAGAATGATGATGAAGGAGGCGCCGAAGTCGTAGATGACCTGACAGGCACAATGGGGTAGGCGCAGGGCCAGGGGGCAGGGTTAGCAGAAGGCAGGCAGGGCAGGTGGCGGGCAGGGGGCATCTGACAGCCCTGCTCTTCCTGTGCCGAGCTGCACCCTGCCAGCCTTGGTGTCCGGTCGTCCCAATAATCTCAGCTTGCCCCGGCACATTGTTAACCCCCTGTGCCTCCAACTTGGACCACGTGTCACCTCGTTGGAGAGGCCTTTCCTGACTGCCTCCATTGCTGTCACCTCACAAGTTCACAGAGAACAGCCCTGGCTGAGATCACTGACTTCTTGATCACTTTCCTAGTCCGTTACTAGTCCAGCTCCTTGGGAACGCGAACCTGCTGGCCTTGTTCACGGATGTGCCTTCAAGGATGCACATGGCAGGTGCCCCCAAATACCCAAGGAGGAGATGGATGTCTCCCTTTGCTCCTCTGTGAAATGGGCGTCACACTGGCACGTACCCTCAGGGGCTGCGGGTGTGATCCCCAGAGTGCTCAGTACAGGGCCTGGCGGGTGGGAAGCCTGCTGAGCAAGCGTATTAGCTGTCGTTGTCACTGTTACCATTTATTTCCAGCACAAGAGTCGCCAGTGTCCTGGCAGACAGCTGCCCAGCTCCCCAGGGAGGGGACCAGCAGTTAGACAGCAAGGAGAGCGGGAGAGGTGGAGGAGGAACTTGTGGACCCCCCAACGCTCCAGAGTGTGAGGACTCCTAGAGGCCACAGGATGGCTGGCTCCACACCCTCCAGGGCCCCTGACTCCCAGGAGGCCAGCGCTCCTGTCCATGGCCTCCCCGCCATGTACCACGGGAAAGGGGATTTGATTTGGTGCTGAGACCAGACGTGGGACAAGCCCCTCCTGAAGCCTTCGCAGGGGCAACAGTATCTGGAGTGGGTGCTGGGGCTGATGGGCTGTGAGGTGTTTGCTTCCTCCTGACCCTGCGTGACTTCCACGGGCTCAGAATCCTGCCTGGGAGGGAAACAGCTGAACCAACTTAGCCAAGAGCATTGCTCTGGCTAATGAGTAACAGCCCAGCAACAACAGACCGGGGGCGGGGTGACCGGGGACGAACTCACCCATCCCTCTTCTCTACCCCAGCCCAGAAACGCAAAGGCGGCCTGCGGAACACCCTGTGTGATATGCTTGAACTTTCCGTCTCCCATGGTGCAGTGGTTTTCTTTTCTTACTCTTGTGAAGCCCAGGTGCATCCTCCCAGGTGTGGGTGGTGGGGAGGGGCGAACCCCAGAACTCACAACTACTTCCCTCTTCAGAGGAGGCTGAAGGAGCCAAGGGAGAGGGCTCTGCTCAGACAGTAGGACAAGAAGGTGAGGCTGGCCACACCCTCACCTTGATTCCCGGGAAGGTGACTGCTGAGGAGGCATAGGATCCAATCATCAAGGCAATAAATGTGGACCGAAGGTCGCCAAACATGTTGGGTAGCTGAAAGACAAGAAGCAAGGGAGCCCACTGAGAGAATGGGCAGCGGACTTGTGGGGGAGGCGTGGGGGAGGGAATCGAGGTATCCTCAGTTTCCATCTCTTATCTGCTCTCCTTCCTGTGTCATTGAGGGAGTGCGAGGAGTGGGTAATTACGGCTCATTGGAAGCCTTTCATCCGGGACTTAGTCTGATAAGGGGAGGGGAGATTAATGCAGAACTCCGAGTCTGGGTCGGACTCTGAGCTGTTGGACTTCCGGGCTGGTGAGTGTCCCTCCTCTTTGCTCAGGCACATACCAGGGGCCTTCCTGTCTTTGCAGGATTACAGTGAGGTGCCAGGGAGCAAAGTCGGGAGCCTCAGGCATCCCTCAAAGGGAGCAAGCCTGTTAAAAATAAGAATCTATTTGGGGATGAGAGTGTCACTGTATACATAAAAATATCAGCGTCCCAGAAGGACCAGATGTCAGCAAAAGCTGCTTTCGGTTCTAAGACAGTAGGCTTCTGGAAGGTGCCAATCAGAATTCTACAGTTCCCTCAGGGCTGACAGGAGAGCTAGGCTAGCCTTGGGATTCCTACTTCTGAGTTTCTAAGTGCAAGGAAGGCTCTCCCTCTCCCCCTCACATTTTACCCCAGTGACGGGCACTGCAGAAGACCGATGGCAAGAAATACTCAGTCTCTTTTCCCAGCAAGGTCGCTCACACACCTCCCATATCAGCTCATTCTGGGCCCACCCGCCACAACTTCAAAGCTAAGACCCACCTGGCCGGTGAGTCTACCCAAATCCAGGCATGGTAAATGTGACAATATAGTCACAGAGTCACACAGACCTAGGGCAAAGTATATCCTCCCAAACAGCCAGTTTGTATCTCCTCTCCCTTGCCTCCAGAGAGCCCGCACTGCCATGCTGTGAAGAGGCTCTGCCGTTCCATGTGCACAGCGCCCAGGGCATGGAGGAGCACTCTCTGTGTAGCTATGCCAACCTGCTTCACTGAATTCAGGTTGTTCATATGGACCTAATCTATCATCCCCTCTCCCATTTGCCTGGAATCATATTGGGGTTTTCTTAAACACAGAACACTGCCACCTGTGAGCCAATCCATTGTTGCTGAATGCGTGCAGTTTGAACTTGGCCGTCCCTGCCCCTCATCATTTCTGCCTGTTTTGCCCACAATGAAAAATGAGGAAGGGACATCACCAAAATTAAAAGCTTTTGTGCTTCAGAGGGCACCAGCAAGGGATGCTTGGGTGGCTCAGTTGGTTGAACATGCAACTTCGGCTCAGGTCATGATCTCGGTTCGTGGGTTTGAGCCCCGCATTGGGCTCTGTGCTGACAGCTCAGAGCCCAGAGCCTATTTTGGTTCTGTGTCTCCCTCTCTCTCTGCCCCTCCTCTGCTCACACTTTGTCTCTCTATCTCTCTCTCAAAACTAAATAAACATAAAAGAAAAAAAAAAGGCACCACCAAGAAAGTGAAAAGAACACACAAAGGAGAGAAAATGTCTGCAAATCATACATCTGATAAGGGGCGTGTGTCTATGCATTATGTATATATAAAAGACTCCTACAACTCAATAATAATTTTTAAAAAACCCTGTTTTTTAAATGGGCAAAAGATCTGAACAGACATTTCTCCAAAGATCTACACATGGCCAATAAGCACATGAAAATCCACTCAGTATCATTAATCTTGGGGAAATGCAAGTTGAAACCACAATGAGATATGGCTTAATACCCGCCAGGGTGGCTACACAGATAATAACAAATGTTGATGAGATATATGGGAAATCAGAACCCTAATGCCCTGCTGCTGGAAATGTTAAGATGGTGCACAGCCACTTTGGTGTTTTGTTTTGTTTTGTTTTTTAATGTTTTATTTCTGAGAGAGAGAGAGACAGCGTGAGCAGGGGAGGGTCAGAGAGAGGGAGACACAGAATCCGAAACAGGCTCCAGGCGGGGCACCTGGGTGGCTCAGTCGGTTAAGTGTTCGACTTCGGCTCGGGTCATGATCTCATGGTTCGTGAGTTCGAGCCCCACGTCGGGCTCTGTGCTGACAGCTAGCTCAGAGCCTCGAGCCTGTTTCAGATTCTGTGTCTCCCTCTCTCTCTCTTTCTCAGAAATAAATAAAAAACATTAAAAAAAAAAAAACCACAAAACAGTCTCCAGGCTCTGAGCTGACTGTCAGCACAGAGCCCGACATGGGGCTCAAACCCACGAACCGCGAGATCATGACCTGAGCCGAAGTCGGACGCTCAACCGACTGAGCCCCGCAGGCGCCCCGGGACACAGCCACTTTGGATAACAGTCTGGCAGTTCCTCCAGCAGTTAACCACAGAGTTATCATATGACTTAGAAATTTCACTCCTAGGTATATACCCAAGAGAAATGAAAACATATGGACTCACAAAATTGTGGCGGCATTCTTTACAGTAACAAAAAAGGACAAACAATGCCAATGCCCATCAGTGGGTGAATGGACAAACAAGCTGTGGTCTGTTTGTACAATGGAATATTACTGAGCCACAAGAGGAAATCAGGTACTGATGCACACTACAGCACGGATGCACCTTGAGAACACTGTGCGAGCTGAAAGAAACAAGTCACAGAAGACCACATATTGTATGATTCCATTTATACGAAATGTCTAGAATGGGCAAGTCCATAGAGACAACAAATAGATTAGTGGTTGCCCAGGGCTGGGGCAGAGGAAGCTGGGAGTGAAAAGGGAGGAAATGCTAATGGGTACAGGGTTTCTATTTGGGGTGATATAATTGATTACGGTGATGGCTGCACAACTCTGAATGTACTAAAAACAACTCAACTGTATACTTTAGGTGAAATGTATGGTATGTGAATTTGTCTCGACATCACTATTAAAAAATAATGAGTAAGAAACGTAAGATGATGTGGGGTCCCAGGATGAAAAAGGAACCTGAATGAATCTATCACGTCTGGCCAATTAGCCATGTTACGGCAGCGGGCCAGGGCGGCCATCCGGACTCCGCAAAGAATCCCAAGGACACAAAGAGCTCTTCTTCCAGCCCTCACGCAGAGTGGCCCCTCTGTCCACTCAGGCTTCTCAGACAGGGCCAGAGAAGGAGAGAAAGCATACAGAAATTCCCCCCAGCTGGACACAGAGGCAATGTGACACGCTCACGTGCGCCCGGGAACACCTAGGGGAGTACTGAAGGTGCCTAATCCTACTGTGCATACCTGCTTCCCGGGTATGCCGTGGTTCAGAGGACACGCCTCCGCTCCTGAGCTCACATATTCGGGCTGCTCTGTGTGGCCTCACCTAGCAAGGCAGCCTTGCAGGTGAGGCCTTTCTGGGGTCACATCCACCCCCGGGAGAATCCACAGACTTGTTCTGCTTATATGGAAGGAACTGTTCCAACCTCAGTCGCCACTCCAGCCAGGGGAAATAAAGGAAGAAAGGGATCAAAGAGGGCTTGGAACTGAACCAGAAGAGCGCATGGAGGCCAAGCGCCCGGTACAGGGAAGGCTACTTGATGTAAGTCAAGCCAGAAAGCCGCTCTTGTTGCCGTAGTCACCTTTGAGCACACAAAGGTGTCTCCCAACTTTTCAAATGGGCTGGGAATACTCTAAAAAAGGAGACAGCTTGCTAGCCAGCCCTTGGCCTTCTGTCTTCTTAAGCTCAAGTTTGCCTTAACCCTAACCTAGGCTAGAGACCCACAGAACAATGGACTTGGGGCTAGCACACAACCTGGCCTGATCTTCCGGAATCTTCTCCTCAGAACCAGATCCAGGACAGGGAAGAACAGGAAGCTGAGGAAGAGGACTGACCTCCCATCTGCCCGTGGATGAGGCCCTTGTCGCCATACCAAGACAAGGGCAGTAGCCTTTTAGCTGCTCTCCTTCTCGCTGCCTAGAACACTCTTAGCAACACCAAGAAAATTTGCCCCAACACGTTACTTTGGTCAGCAGAGCAATTCCTAGGGGAGTAGAGCCTCAGATCAAACCACACTATACAGTCTTTCCACCAACACCTATATCCTGTATTTTATTTAATTTATTTTTTTAATGTTTGTTTATTTTTTGAGAGAGAGAGACAGAGCATGAACAGGGGAGGGGCAGAGAGAGAGGGAGGCACAGAATCCGAAGCAGGCTCCAGGCTCTGAACTAGCTGTTAGCACAGAGCACGATGCGGGGCTTGAACTCACAAGCTATGAAATCATGACCTGAGCCCAAGACGGAAGCTCAGTCGACTGAGACACCCAGGTGCCCCTTTATCCTGTGTTTTAAATTAGGATTATTTTTTTCTGATTAGAAAAGCAATTGTAAAACATTTGGAACAAAGTATACATAGAAAGGGGCACCTGAGTGGCCCAGTCGGTTAAGCATCTGACTTCAGCTCAGGTCATGATCTCACGGTTCGTGGGTTTGAGCCCCGTGTTGGGCTCTGTGCTGACAGCTAGCTCAGAGCCTGGAGGCTCCTTCGGATTCTGTGTCTCCCTCTCTCTCTGACCCTCCCCTGCTCATGCTGTCTCTCTCTCTCTCAGAAATAAATAAAACATTAAAAAAAAAGTATACATAAAGAAAGAATAAAATAAAAATCCCCCTGATATAATCATGTTAGTATTTTTAATGTGTTTCCCATTAATCTTTTTCCTATAAATATCGGTAACTTTTAAACAAAACTGGGATCATATGCTACATGTCATTTTACAATTTTTCCCTTTTACTTGATATAGTTTCCTTTTTTCTTTCTTTTAAAAGTTTTTTATTTAAAGTTGTTTTTTACTATTATTATTTTTAAAAATTTTAAGTAATCTCTATACCCACCATGGGGCTCGAACTCACGACCCTGAGATCAAAAATTGCATGCTCCAGTGACTGAGCCAGCCAGGCATCCCTATAAATGTTTTCTAACTTCGTATTCACTTTCAACATAATTTGTAATGACTGTCTGGTATTTCCTTATCTGAATGGTCTATAATTTATGCAAGCATTTCTCTGATGTTGAAACTCAAGTCTTTTTAATTAACATTC